GAAATGGTTGTGGTGGGACACGATGAAGCAGTTCTTTGAATTGTTGTACTCCGATCCACCAAATAAGGCTCCCTCATCTCACCCTCCGCCCTTCATGCCCCAGCTCTTCTCGCCCTCATGATCGCTCAAGCCAGAGGAAAAGTAGACAGAGTCGAAATAAAGTGTATAACCATGCCCTTCCCTCCAGATCCCAGGATATCCCGTAATAGCCAACCCATGCGCCATCATTAAACCCTTCCGTCGCCGATCCATGCCAAAAAGAAACCGATGAAAAACCACAGAGTATCTAAGTTTGCAATAAAAAGGGCCGAGCAGATTATGCATAAATGTGCAACGCGCAAGCATTTCCTTACCATTTACTGACCCTCTAACTCCATGTGCTAATCTTCCATATTTCAGATCAGGGGACATAGAGGAAAGTAGAAAATGTTCCATCGGAGCGTCTTCCGCATCGCCTGGCCGGCAACATAATGCCAGGTCGGGGGTGGGTCAGGCGCGATAACCGCTGCTTCTTCTATCCTGCGAGTCCACAAGGATATTAGCAATGTCAAAAGTCATACAAGAGATCAATGCTTCTGAATGTCATGGCGAACTGCCATAGTCGGGGTACGTTCCAGTTCCCTGGCCGAGATAGCTAGGACGGGGCGGCGGTTCTCGATAGGCTCCATATGGGCTGTGATTTTGGGATGGTGGATGATAGTCCAATCTCATGCCTGAAGACATGCTATTGGGATGCTGTGGTTGGGGACGAATTGGGGCAGAAGAACTTCCAAAAGTAGGGTACTGATATCGACATGACGGGTCTGGGAGGCTGTTTGGGGTACTGTACGCTACCTTCTTTGTTGGCCTCGGAGGCTCATCATCATCGCTCAGTGTCAGGTCTATCACTTCGGAGGTGCGCTTGCTGCCCGTCCTAGGTGCCGTTGAAGCTTCCCGAGAGGACAAGGGAGGTGTCCTTGTCAACGATTGAGGTGTATTAACAGCCTCGCTTTTGATGGCAGCGACACGGTAATCCGGAATCTCGATCAGGTCGTCATCGCTATCGTCGTGGGTCGCGGTGAATCCATTTCGGGGTGTCTGGCTTTCTGTCTTGCTCCCATGTGACCATTTCCCATTGTGCTCGATCGTCACCTGATCTGTCCCTTTCGGAACGCTCTCTAATATTTCTTGGACATATCTGGATAACGTTAGAATGCAGCCCAAATTCATTCAGCCTCGACTTACTGATCCACAGCAAGACCTTCAAATGACACCGTCTTGTTGCAAACAGGACATTGCCACGTAGGGGCCTGCTCTTGGAGTTGAAGAAACGACTCAGCGTCGAAACATTGGTTGTGGTTGCAGAGATTCGACCTGCATGGAAGCGTCATTCTCAGCGTAGAGATTGGATCCTTGAGTGACATGACTGTTGAATCAACGACAATATCAGGATCATTCGCCTTCCTCAACACTGCGTCTCACGTCAATTCCAACTAACCAAATAGACCTTCAGAATACCCACTTTCGTTGATTACACTCTGCTTTGAGATGACATGCCTCTGGGCGATGCGTTTGGCGAGCTCCTCAACTGAATGCTTTTTGACTAAATATATGAAGATGTTGTATTTCTGCGACAATGTTAGCGCAGTCTAACACACTAAGGACTTGGATATTAAGAGACCTCATGCCGACTTGCCTTTTGCGTCAGCGCATACGTGACAACAATCTGATTTCTGTAGTTTTGCGTCTTCCGTATGTAGTCGGTCAGATCAGCCGGTCGCGTGGAGCCAGGCTTGTTCTTTAGACCTTTGTAGTTTGCTTTCACTTCCTCGCCATTTATCCGTACCTCAATCTGGCTAGGAAAAGCAACGTCTTGGCGTGAATACTGTGTTAGAGGCGCATCAATGGCGGAGAAGAGCATGATACGTAGACTTAGGTCATCTTTGAGGCGCTGGGCTAGGTCTCCCTGCATCGGGAGGTGGCGGGTCGTGGTTTGCCGATGGCTCGGAGAGACTGTGAATGGTTAGACAGTTGTTCTTCCACCGGATGGCGGTAACTCACTCTCAAGCGTCATTCCCGATACCAGCAACTCCAAAAACTCGTAGAACGGGCTTTCCTTGAAGTATTGGGGGGTCCCTGTTGAAAATTTAGCAACCGCCCTGTGGCTCCCAAACGTAGTGTACAACGTACGTGGCGCCATTTGTTGCGGATACGCATTATACGGCTGGTGGTTTACATATCCGTTCTGCATTTCATAGGCACCGTGGGCGGTAGGTGAGGCGTGATTTGGGAGAGAGGGAGGGGCAGGCGCGTTGTAATCGGGGGGGGGAGCCTCTCCGTGGTGCTGAATTCGGTATCGTAGTCTTTGGAGCGAATCTAGATCGTTCCTTTGAACGGCACGCTCAATGACTGAGGTGAATGGTATGTTAGCGGGTGACTACACACCTCAAGGCAGAGAAGTAGGGAACGAGGGACGGTGTAACGTACTGTCAAGAACCCGCTGCTGCAACTGGAGCTTGTTCCCCGACTGAATTTGACCTTCCTCTTTGCATATCCTCTTCAGATCATTGTTTACCAGCGTCTTCGACCGAGCGATGAGTGCAGCAGCCAGTTGTTGGATGGTATTTCCATTCGAGGCCATATCTGGAGGATAAGCGTGCCGTCCTTGAACGAGATATGGAGAGAAACAGAGTGCGCGGGTGAGGGAAATATTACCAAGAAACACGTCTCAGGGTCGACATTGGGAGAAGGGGGGAATTGTAGGACCGGAGCAGGCTGGGTGAATGAAGGAGGTGATTTTGGAGGTGAAGAGAGGTTTTGGATGGTCCGGAGGTCTTCTCGGTAGCAGCTCCCAACTCTCGGGAACGCACGATGCACCGCACAGTCGCACGGGAGCAGCAGTAGTGAAGAGTTATTATTGTTCTATCACAAAGCAAACAAAAGGCGGCGCAAGCAGGCCAATGCTACGGCGTATCGCAGCGCCCTTGACTGTGATGCGGCTGCCGACGTCTTTGAGCGCACGTTTCCGCAATAGATGCAAAGTCATCATGCTATCCCACCAATCGACGGGGACGCTTGGACCACCCCCGGCTAGATTTCTGCCTTACCGCCTAGGGCCCGCCACCAAACCTTCAAAATTGCAGTGATAAAGAGTCACTTCCTTCACTCAGAAATCCTACACACCCTCAGAGCACCACCCATCCACACTACCAAATTCAATACCAACCAAAATGGCGAAAGGCCTCCGGTCCAGCGTCAAGAAATCAAACCGCTCCAAGCTCCGCTCGCGAGTCTTTGCTCCCGTCGAAGATGCACGCACCGAGCGACTGCACGCAAAACTCCTCGAAGCAGTCAAACAGCCGAGGCTTGAGCCCGCAAAGAAATCAGAGATGGATGTAGACACGCTTGAAGGTACTAGAACATCTGCTACTCACCAACGTCCCACCGAATCCCAGCGAACCCGGTCTGACCTCTCAGAATCCAACACAACTGCCCAGCAAGCCGACGAAGAAGAGCTCCCCAAAGGTTGGTTTTCTCTCACTGCCAACATTCCACGCTCCCTATCCTTGGAGGGACACACCCCCAAACCCGACCCATGGGCCACCATCCTCCCGAAAGACTCCGTCTATAATGAAATTTACGACCTCTGGATCAAAGACGCCCAAGACCGCGAGGACCTCTACTACTGGGCTCTAGGCCTATGCTCTGACATCAAGGGCTTCACCGAAGACGGACAACTCGAATGCACCATTGACCCGCTTCTTGATTTAAGCAAGTGAAAATGGGCTAACTGTCTTCAACTAGAAATGGATATCGACGGCACCGTCCCCTCATCTTCGCAACCGAAGAAGAAGGTCAATCAATCCAAGTCGAAGCGACGACAGAAGCCCAAGAACCAGATTACCTTCCCGCAGTCAAAAGGGAAGGGCGCGCTGAAACCCTTCTCGAATTCGAAAGTCCACAAACGACGCTGATTTAGGATTTCATTTCCTATTTATCTGGATTCATTTCACTTTCTACTCGACACCAATATTCCAGGCGATTCTAGGCTTGGCATTTTCCTGTTATCTGCATTTTCAGGGCGTTGCGGGATGTCTGCTGCCTGTTGTTCTGGGCAGTGCTTTTGTATGAGTCACGGATGAGATACCATGTCCTAATGGACCACCAATGTACCAGTCCAGTTTTGGAGCTTTTCAATTTTGCACTACTGTGTAAGTGTCTCATTATTTCATGTGACCTATGACCAATGACGTATCCCAAGCATCCTCCTGAAACTCTTACTCTACCACCTCCCTGACGTCCGCTACTGAACTATGATGTACCCAAATTATACCTTGTCACTTTCCGAGTGGCAGAAGCCCGGGCTATGCAGACCTGATAGTTTCCAGTGAAGGTGAACCACTTTTCGGTATGCTATATTTTCAACCCCATGTTCCCTAGCTGTGCTATTTCATTCCTATCATTGATCTGTGTTGAAAATAAGAAATCTCAAGCTGAAATTCCAAGTATTCTACATCGCACTCAAACAGTCTCTAGGGACAGCATAAGCACAAAATCCACACCCTACACCCCCTCTTCAAGAACTATTAAATTACCATACCGACTAAAACACATCTACGGGGTCAAGCCGCTCCGGGGATTCACTTCAGTTGACTGAGCCTCCCTATGTCTAACCCCTCTTGCTCCTTAACAACCTAACTATAAGCCAAAGGAGCACTCCTAGTACTTACCATCTCAATCACCCTCTTTAATCTCCTCCCCTCTCACATCTCCAACTCAACATCCGCATCTCCATCCCTCACCTCCTGGTTCCATCCTTCCTAGTCCCTTCCCAACAGCCTTAAAAACAGCACCAGGCCACTTCCTAAAAACTTTCGGAAGCACTAGTAAGATAAAAGTAATTGGAATTGACACCGGCAACTCCACCATAAAACCCACTATCAGCCCAATCTCCAAATTCAGATACATATTCTTTAGCGCGGTCTACATATGATCTAGGATCTGAAAATTGGGTTGGATACCCAGATTGGAAGCACCCATTGTGCCTCGGTGGAAGTTTTTGGTCCAGACGAAACGGATGTCCTGGAAGTGACACATGCCATCCCTATCCAGGTCCAATATAACTGTATCCGAGAACTGAAGTTGGGATAGTGTCAAATTCTTCATTCCTTGAATAACCAAACTCTTATAATAACCTCTAAGATTGCTCTGATATTTTTGTAGCATTGTCGGATAAGGAGCGGGAGAGGAGGGACGAGTATGTTATTTGCAAGCCTGTCTTCACATATAGAATAGCTTTCTCGGTGTCGTTGGAGGGTGACACATCATCTTTCCAGAACTCGGTTCCGGTTTCGAGAACGGTGAAATAGATGTATTGGCGTTGGGGTCTGGTGTTGCAGTGCGTGGAGGGAGGGTTGTAGGGGTCGTTGCTGGTGTAAGTCCAGGTGTTATAGGAGTAAGGATATGGTATTGCGGGGGAGGGGGTCTCGAAGATGAAGTTTTTAATGGATGTGGCGATGTCTGAGAATTTGTTGCTGATATTTGAGATATTGTTCGAGATTTTGTCGAGGAGCGTTGTAATAAGGCCACGGCTCTGGAACATGTGGGCTTTGATTGAACTGGAGTTGGTACATGAGGATGCTGACATCTGGACGTCAGCGTCAGTGCTTTTGTGACATTTCGAGTTGACGCAAGGATTGGATGGGTCGGGTGGTGAACGCGTAACGAGTTTCGATGGAGTTGTGGATGTTGCTTGAGATCGGATTGTCTGCGTTGGTGGAGAAGAAGTGGCGATGGGTAGTGAGTGCAAATGAAGTCGATATGTGCTCTCTTCCAATGACCCGTTATCTGTTAAATTCAGTGTTAGAATGCTTCCGCGCTGTCGGCTCGTCGATGTTGGCGATGTTGTAGGTTTAAGGGGAGCGATATGGCTGCCGTGGTATTTCGTCGGTAGACTGAACTTTTTGCGATGCTGCTCGAGAGCAGAATTCGGGGATTCAAGAATTGCTGAAGGTGAGCTCGTCTCAATGGTTAGAGGCCCATGAAATGGGGCCGCGATTGCCAGCAAAATAGAGCCGGCAGCGAGGAGGTATGTATTAGATATACTCTATGGTGAAGTACTGAGTTGCGAAGGGCATGAATGAGGATGGAGCTTCTTGGGTAGTGATGGAAAAGTGGGATGGGAGGGTAGTACTCTTGTTATGAGTGTGTTAATTTAGAATGCATAGTTTTGTGGTTCATTGTGGCCGTAAAATTGAACTAAGAGTCGTCCTAATGCTTCGGTATTGAGGTTGGGCAGGGCGGTCGGTGTATGATGCTATCAATTATCAGTACTGATGAAACCAGAGACCCAAAGAAAGTAGGCGAAGCAGGGCTACAATAAACTAACTCACAATGCACACTCGGGCAGTATCCTTCTAGAAATTATGCATGCAGCGTGACGTTGCCAAAAAAAAAAAAAAAAAAAAAAGCTAGCTTATAGGGACAGATAGGGGTAAACTGCCACAAAAAACTTGAATGCGCCAGGACGGTATCTGGTACGTTAGAACATAAGATTGTGAATGCTGTTTTATGTATACTGCTTTTACCTATCCAACATGCGATGCCAAAAGCCTTAGGTTTACAACATCAAGACAGTTCGTAGAGCACGAAGGGCACAGAAAAACAGCACCCTGAAAAGCACACCTTCGACAACACCCTTTTGTAAATCCCGTACCGCACAACATGTTGCCAGCACAATCATATATAGGCCTGGAGAAGGGTACGCTCTGGGAGAGTTTGATTACAATACGGTGGTGTACGGTCATGTGGACGGTCATGGTGTGTCATGCATATCAACACTTTGGTCAAACGTGGGAAGGAAGAACTTGGATTCGAGACGAGGCAAACAAGGAAACTTCCGGAGACTATAAGCTATAACGACCTTTGCAGAATTTTGTGGCGGAGCAAAAAAAGAACCAAAAAGCTTCAGACCTGCTGAAACCTCCAACAACGCATCAGAACACCTACTCCCGAGATTGAAGTCAAAGACCCCGGCGTCCATCCTCCAAGTCAACTCTCAAGTCCCGAACACTGTCAGCCAACTCGACATTCATAGAGGCACTATCCTCGTGTTGGTGACGACGGTTGAATTTATACTTGTGATAGATAAGCTAAGCGATGTAGAAGGTCATCCCTGACAGGAAAAATAGGACGCCGAGCTTCACTATAAGGCTGGAGATGTCGAGGAGAGGGGCATGTGTTAGTAGGATCAATTGGACCCTGTCCAGAATTTCGCTGGGTGGTCAACGGTAACCGCTAGCTTGGCGGGAACGGTGCAGATCGCCGGAGGTTGTGTGTTTTTAGCTGATTGTTCCTCGAGTGATACAGCCAGCTTTTACAGTCTCAAGGTCTGTCTAATAGCAGATTGCTGAATGATCCGGCTTGGATGGCGCCGCCGTCACATTAAAGCCAGGCTGTGATAGTGGCTATGACCAGATTTTGGGGATAATATTCAGTCCATTCGGTCTCGATGGGAAAAGGCGAACTCAGGGTGTAGAAGAGTCTTTGAAACAGATGAACGTAGAGAGGATAAGAGACGGATAGTGACACCCTAGTGGTTGTTGACGGAAAGGGAAAAGCTGGCCGAGTGAGATGGAACGTAGCTGAGCAGGAGGATAGGTATGCATGACTTGATTGAAGAGCGCATGGCTGATACTGGGTTGAGACTGATGAAAGGTGAATTGTTCCGACGGACGCCTAAAGAATGGTGGTGGTGATGGATGGTTTGGGTGAAGGAATGAGAGTGGGTCTTAGATACTTAAGTGCCTGGAAGGAAACGGTGCTCCTGCAACACTCACCTGCAGCCATGGTCCGTCTCTACGTTACGGAAGCTGCATGGCAAGGTTGGAGTGTTGTCCTCCTTCAAGAAGTAGACGAATGCGGAGGTGCCATGGCAGGTGTGGAAAAGTCCTTGCTAAAAGCTAGGGAGGTCACTGAAGGCGATATAGCTCTCTTACTTCAATCTAATTGTGGAGACCGATGCCTTTGAGTCCTCTCCATCACACTGAATTGGAGCGACGAAGAGTATGTCACGTCCGGAAAGGCTGCTTAGCATCGAGGTTTGAACTCGCACCAATCCGGAATAGCGTCGCAGCTTAGCCATCTCCACTCTGAAGCCGTATGCCTCAAGCCGCAGCCCCAGCCCACAAGCTGAGCCACAACCTTTCCCAGTCTTCTTCCGCCATGTTTCTTTGCGATTCACTTTGTACGTACCGGTAGTCACTGAATGCCATCCTCATTTCCGCTCTTCTCATACTAGGCCCTGCACCTTCGGTTACTGTTATGAGATGCTGCATTAAGTGACGCCGGGTCACGTTGGAGACGACGCCTACAGCTTATCTCACAAATCAGACCCTCTTCATGGAGGTGGTCTGAGCGGACTGGCCACTGGGCAGCTGCGCTGCTCCCAATCACCTTGATGATTCCTCGAAAGAGGGTCTGAGAGCAAATGGTCGCAGCTTTAGTGCAATACCAGTGTTCTTAACTACCAAACTCACCTTTTTCAATGCTATATCTCTCTCCTTATTCCACGTTTGAATATCTTAAAAATGCTATAGGGTACAAAGAGTTCGGCTCGGTGCATAATGAAAATACGAGCTGTCTGCCCCTCCTTAGTAAACGAGGTTTCGGCCATTTAGAGGCTCTCGCTTAAGGGCCTGTTCGCTAGCAAATAGTCAGACCTCAGATGCTTGAAGAGCAAATATTGAACCCTGTACTTACCTAGTGTTGCACCTCCATTGCCTGTGCCGTAGGCATGTTGCCGTCGACGCCCGTCGTCCCAAAGCAAGTCGAACGACTCGCCACCGAAGCCGTATTGCCGTCGTCGCCCTCAAAGAGCCCTCAACCGACGCGATCGCCAAGTTGGACGCAGACGCCGTTGCGCTCACCCTTCTGTAATACTACGCCAGGTGGTGGCAAGGCTCCGAAGCTGAAATAGACGCCTAACATGTTAGAGGTGTTTTTGAATGCCCTAGTGCTTAAAGTTGTCAAAGAAGGCATACAGGCGGACTCTAGGTTCAAGAAAGAGGCATGAACGTGCGTGCGTGAGCAGGTATCAAAGATCAACTCGTTGGTGACGCTGGACCGCTGTAAAAGTAAGATAACGACTTGTAAGGGGGACTAGAAGCTCTAGAGTAAACTTACAAAATTATCTAGGTTCTCTGCAACAAAGCATAGAGTTGTAGTAGCTAATAATAAGGTGCTATAAAAGTACTTTAACGCCCATTCTAAGGCTAAGAAATTCAAGTTAAAGCCCTTAGAGTTTAAAGAACAATACTACCAGCTCTTTAAAGAAGTGTTAGCAACTAGCCAAAATACTCTATTAATTGACAACGTTGTTGCTAACAACTTTAAGCCTGTATAATCTATTAAGCGTGATCTGTTAGTTAACACCTTATAGGCAATAAAAGAAAATAGTAATGTTGAGTAGAAGCCTTCCTATAAGTATGTAGACTCTTAATTAGTAGATAGAGCCTTAAGAAAGCAAGTATAAAAGTAGACTAATCTTAATTAATTATAGTTGGAAATTAGCTTAATAAGAGTAGAAATTAAACACTTAGCTAACTTTATATAAAACAATAATTAGTAAAAAGCTATTATAAAGTTTACTTATACTTATTAAGTACTAAACAACTATTTTAAGTTTACTATACTTATTATTTTTAAAGCTTACCTTCAGTCTTAGATATAAAAAACTAAAAAAAAAAAAAAAAAAAAATTAAGTTAAAACTAAAAATTTAATTTAGAACTTAATGAAAAATTTTAAACTTTAATAAATATTAACATTTATAATACTTATATCTATAATTTACTTTTTTTAGTATACTTATATTTTGTTTTACTATTTTTTGTATTTTTAAGTAATTATTCTACATTTTTTAAACTATTTTATTTTAAAACTAGTTATTTTAGTATAAATAGTTATTAAATTTATTAAATTTTAAAAAAATTTAAAATATTACTTTGTAGTACTTACTTTTATATAACTTATATTTATTTAAGTTATTTTTAACTTTAAATTTGTAATTAATAAAGTTATATATACTTATAAAAATAAAAATAAACTTAACTTAAATTTTAATAAAAAAACTTATACAAATAGTTAAAATTTTGTTATTTATATTTAAAAAAGTTAAAATACTTTTTAATAATATTTTATAAGTTAAAATAATAAAAGTTAAAACTTTTTTTAATTATAAGGTTTTAACTTTATTTAATTTTTTTTTAAAATAGTAACAAACTTTAGAATAAAGTATTAATAGTATATTACTATTAGTATACTTAGTATTAGTAAAATAATACTTACTTTTTAAGACTTTAAAGCTTTTTACTTAAATATTATTAAAAATTTAATTATTATAAATACTATTTTTTTTATTTAAATGAAATATACATAATATTAAGTCTAAAGTTAATAATAATTAATATATTTTATAATATATTTTTATACTTATTATAAAACTACTTTTACTTACTAACTTAAATATGTAGTAAAAAGTACAACTTATTTAAAATTTTAATATAGTTTTTAAAGTATAGCTAGTATTAAATATTATTTTAAATTACTAGTAATGTTTTATTTAATAAAAACTTAATAAAGTTATAATAAAATTAAAGTAAAGTATTAAAAACTTTATTAAAGTTATTATTAATATTAGTAAGTTTTATAAATTAAATAAATAACTTACTTACTTATTATTAATATTAAGTATTTATATTAATACTTTTTTTTTAAAAAAAAAACGTTTTGCTTATAAATATATAAAAATATAAATAGTATTTTTTAATAGTTACTTTTCTACTATTTATTACTAGCTTATACTTTAGTAGTTTTATAAACTTTTTAAATATTTTTAACTAA